GTTTTAAACGAAGAACTTACTGTCCATCAACTACGCTGAAAAAATGGAGATGGATAGAATACACTTTGTGGAGAACACTAAGCGACACGGAGTGCCAGGCCTTTGAATGGGGCTTTAGTAAGAAACGAAGAGATGGGCGTGGATCCAAGGAAGACATATAGGAAATCGTGAGAGGAGGAGATGAAAGCTTATGGGCGGTGTGGAACCCGCTAAAGATAAACACAGAGAGCAGGACAAACTGTAGATGTGCTGTCGAAGCCCAATATTGCATTTAAAATTACATTAACAACAATACAAACTATAGTCTAATGTCAATCAATCAAAGATGTTCACAGATTTTAAAACACCTAGTCAATTTAAGTAAATTTCACTAATGTTATTAAAAGACTGAGGTTGAGATTGGTGTATTTCTGCAAATACAATTAGAACGATCAGATGACACATCTACTTGTCAGTTTAATTTATATGAAAATGAGAAAAAAGTGGAAGGTAAAATAAAATAAAAAATAATAGGGGAATTTACGAGAGAGGACTGACTGACTCTCAACTTCGTAATTTAACAAAAATTAGAATAAGTATGAACAAAGTTGGCAATCTGCAATCTGAGTTAATCGAGGTTATGCAGTTTCAATTATCTCTGAGACTCTCTTGAGTACACATGTCCTCCACGTGTTCGCATCTATCCACACATATAAATTACCATGGGATTTGATGGAATCACTTGTGAAATGTTAAGGATTACGATAAAGAATATTTTTGTTTTTTTTCAATAATTACATGCTCGGCTGTATTGCAAGTTTTACAAATCACAGAGTTTAGTCTATCTTAAAATCTTACTATTTAACTCCCCTGCATGAGGTAAGCTGATATGAACACGGTCAGAATAAACTGTAAACTTTGAAATGAACTGTTCTCTACACCGGTCCAAAGGATATCCGTCCCTGACATACGTATCAGTCAGTATTATATTGTTATACCTATCCATTCCTAGTCAACGAATTCCTAAACCTTGTCTAGTTTAGTCATCTACAGTGATCTGGGGACGTGAGGCTAACAACGTCACCCTGTAAAAGCAGCACCACGGCCACTGAAACTTTGCAAGTTTGAAGCCTCAACGGATGAAAAAAAATATTTTCATTATCTGTACAGATGCACTGAATCTTCTTGACAATAAGCTTTTTATCAAAACAATTTTGTACATCACAATGGGTGAGAACTTGGGCTTTACACACAGAAATCCAATTCTAAATAAACTAATCGCTTTACTGAACCACGGTTTTCATCTATTACTATAAGAAAGAAGGCGTATAAAGTGCTTATTCTGTATCTAAGTTATTCAAAAGACACCCAATTATATGAGTTAAGCTAGTACTCGGACACAGTTATTCCATTATATTTGAACAGTCCAGCGATATATCTCATACTGTTAGACCCATAGGTATCTTTCTGTTAACGTTGTCTAAAGGTCAAGATTTCAGTGTCATACACACACTCATATAAGAAGACAGACTGACACACAAATACCTTACAAATATGCATACGTACATATGCATACAAGTTAATAACAAGTCGTTTTTAAATTCTGATAGCTTAATATACTAATGACTCATACAACAGCATCACTGGAAGCCAGGGACCCCGAACGTCTGTTCCATCCTATTTCAGGACTCCTCACTAGGTGGATACTCATCAAATGCATTGGTGAGGGCAACATCATATCACAAGGTAGCAAAGTTAGAACTCATAGATCACTGAACTCCAACTTAAACGGCTGAACTTGTAACCTGAAAGTCCTAGGTTCGACCCCTGTCGTGGCGAAGGGGTCATGGGTGTGCAATGGTGGGAAGTCCTAAAATTAGACGAAACAGTTATACAGTGCTCCTTGGTGTCTTCAATCATCTCTCTAAATGATGTTGCTTCGTGAAGAATATCTTTACAAGTGAAATTAGTCTGATATTCCCCACAAATGTTGGTGGCACAGTGGTAGAATGCTTGCCAACCACGGAGGTGGTTCGGGTTTCGATCCCCGGCCGACGAACTCCTTTACCTCTTTAAGCCAGTAGTAAGGCTGATAAAGAAAGAAGGTTGGGCATGAGGCTAGCAGTTCCATCCCATAAAAACAGCACCGCTGCTACCGAAACTTCAAAGCTCTAAGTTGAAGACCAATGTTCCACTGGGAAAGGAAACGAATAAAATGAAATAAAAATCCCCCATCATTCTTAAAAATTACATAATGCAACTTATAAAATAGTCGTGTTGATGCATAATATGATTATGAGAGCAAAACTTGAGCTCGGAATGTCATCCAGTTAATAATACTATATCACTGTGTGTATAGCACTAAATAAAATTATCTGGTACGGAGTTATACTCTACCACGGTACTCAAATTCTACCCCTACATTAAAGTAACATTTACCAGTTATATGGTGTGATATGGTTTATTAACTGAGTGACGATTCTATTATAAATATGAATTACTTGTCTTGTAAAACAGGGCAAGCCTCAGAATTATAAAGTTTTTGTTCTAGCCATCAATTTAGGCCCAACAAATAAATCTGTGATGCCTAATACTAAGACTTTGTAAAACCAAGATACCATTCTTAGTTTTCACTACTCATTTGCGCTACTTTCATCCAGAGGATTCTTTTTGGGAAAACAGCGATAAAATCTAACGGTCGTTCTACCTTCTTCCAAGGTTACTTTCTCAGGAAACTGTTATAAAACAGTGAAATCATAGGTCGAAACTGTTGGAAATACAGCTATTTCTAGCGTTAAATTATGTCGTTTTAAAAAATTCATTTTTATGAATTGTAGTTCATCCTAGCCTAAGTATTATGGGAAGAAGTAGACCAACAGTGGGATAGAATATCAATGAGTGCAAATGAAGGGAAAGATTCAATCAAAATATTGAGAACTTTAGATATACATATCTTCTATCATTACCATTTGAATTTTCAAAACCATCTAAAAGAAGTATTTAAACTATATATGTCCAAACCAAGTTCACTTTTAACAGTTTGAGAAAGTTTAGGCAGCGGGTATATGATATTTGTTATAATAAAGGTTTCCTTGTATTTCCCAATGAATGAAAAACAAAACGATATTGTTTGATTAACTGACGTTTCGCTATTTAATGCTTTATCAAAGTATTATCAAACCAGAATTGACAAAATCTCAGCATGTATATAACAACTTAATCATCGTTGCTCAGTATGGTGTCATTTTTCCGATATTAAATTGGCTAATTGGTAAAGATAACAAAACCAAGTGTGTGTAGATTGCTGATTTGATAAGTGTGTAAAATTATAAAAACAACGTGTGTTTACATAATGAAATTCCTTATCACATTCCTGTTGATCTTGTCATTTCATAGGGAATATGGGAGGGGGTGTTGTGACCAGGTCAAATTCTGTTTTAGTCCGTCTTTCATATTCATCAGACAATTTCGATTCCACTTGATATGAAGTGCTTCTGATGACATCAGACGTTCTTTGTGATTACCGAAAAGCTTTTTCTGGATTATTTCAATATTATCAAAAACAATTTTGCGACCTGAATGTATAGCATGTAGATCACCTGTGGCTGATGATTTTTCAAGCTTTTCCAGTTCAAACGGATTTCTCAGTGTTCGAACAGAGGGGGCTCTTCGGTACTGATTTCTTCTGATTTTGATTTCTCGAGATGTCTGTTCGATGTATATCACATCACATTCCAAGCATTTTATTTTATAGACACAATTAGATATAGGATCTTTAGGGATTTGGTATTTTGTATGGACAAGGTTGTTTCGCAGTGTGCCTGATGTTTTGAATAAAACTCTGATGTTTCCGCTTTATATGGAATGACAGCTGTTGAGGTCCATGTTTTTGGAATACGTTTTCGACCGCACTTAATGTCAGTGTTGATTTTGTTGATGAAGTTCATAGGGTAGTAGTTTTGCTTTAGGGGAGTTTCAGTAATGTTTGATATTTCTTTCTTTCCCGCCCGTCAACATCAGAGAGTGTGCTCGTCTCAGAAGACTTGAAACAACTGATACCATTTAGCTGATGATCGTTTTGTTTTTCATTCATTGGCAAATATAAGGAAAAGAAACCTACAGTATTTAAGCTAGTTATAAAATAAATATTCAGGCTAGTTTCCTTAAAATGAAATACGGTTCAGTGATAGTTATGCGGAACAATTTACTTGATGTAAATAATGTACTCAGTTAGTGACTCAGTGTTCACCAGCCACAAAGTAGGTCCGGGCTCAATTTCCGACCGACAAACTCCTAAACTTCGCCTAGTTTATTTAGATGTTTGCAACTCTGAGAAAAGATGAGAGGTTGGGTGTGCGTGTATCAGACTAACTGCGTAAAAGCAACAGCGACACTACGAAAACTTCAATGCTCGAAGCCTTACGCTCCACTCAGAATGTAAATGATGAAAAAATAACAATGTAATGATCTAAATTATAGTTCACATTCTTAGGCGCACTGCTAATTCACTAAAATAGATAAAGAGTTGGGATCGTTTTAGATTGTTCAGTTATATTCTCCTGTATTGTTTAAAACCTTTACAACTTATAAATCAGGCCGCACCGTGATCACTACTCAGTCACACCATAAAATTAACCCACAAAGACAATATAGTAGTTATTTTGCTATCCTAAACGTTTTAATTACAAAATATCTTGCTATTTTGCAATGAATAGTGTTCTCTGAGCTGGTTGGTTTAGTTGCGGATCTTTTGTCGTCCTTTTGGACAACGTCTTCAGTGCACTATTTAGCATAAAGTGGAATGATTTAAATTTTTCACTTTATGTTAAATATTGCGCTGAAAAGGTTGTCAAGATGGATGACGAAAGCGCCGCAACTAAACCAACCGACTCAGAGAACACTATGAATTGTAAATCATCCACCTGAGCTACAAATCTTCTCTATTATTTCAACATCTTGTTGTTATTGTTTAACGTTAAAAGCGCTAAAATAAAAGTAATTTATGCCCACCAATGACTTACCAGCCTTGTCTACAGCCAAAAATTTCACCCATATATGTAGCATGGCACGCATAACAGCATCAGAACGTCTTCTATCCAAATGAGCTCTTTGAACAAGAAATTGACCAATTTGTAGCAGATCATGACAACGTAATTTCATTGTCTCATTAACATCTAAGCGTCTATACATTGTACGCATTTTCCCCTCCCATACAGGTCCACAATCAAGTGTACCATAGTCTTCAGCACGTTTATAATTTAACAGTGGTCCCCATAATCGTACAGCTTTACTTTTTCCATCATCCGACATAAAGAAATCGACGAAAATTTTTAAAAAGTTTTCTTTATTCATTCGACCTGCATCAGCATGCATTTTAAAGATTAACTCACAATCTTTTGGTACTGATTTCCATGCAACCATAAGAGTTTGAAATTCTGGTGCAGTTATCTTGCCGTCATCATCTTGATCCATAGCAGAAAACATTGGAGTGATAAAATGTTCATCAAACTGTTCACGAAATTTACCTTTCAATGCTTTTGTCATATTATCTACAAATATTGACTCGTTTAAATTCATTGTAGTCGCTGACTGGCGTGGTACATGTGTACAGATTACTTGATACCACATATATACTAAAGTTTTGACTAATTCATCATATTTATACGCTGCCATTTTAGGATAAACATTAAATATTGACGTTCCAACTTCTAGCAGATCATCAACCATTAAATAACCATGTCCAGATGAATCTAGTCGACGAAACAGCGTACGCATTTTACGTATCCATGTTGGACCTGCAGTGAACTCGGGGTAACTAGCAGCCATTTTATATCAGGTGTGTGTGTATATGGAGGGATTCAAGACTTCTTCTTAGGAATTGATTATTTTTTTATATTAGTAACCAAGTGAATTGGTGATAGATAAGTCAAGAAGTGCCACTGTAACTGTAGGTGGGAAACTTAAAAATTGATGTCTATTTAAAACAGATTTGCACATCAAAACATTTACATATATATACATACATATGTGCTGGCTGCAATTTTCGATTTCTTTCAGCCAATAAATGAAGTAATTAACATGGCACCAACCCACGCAAAATCCCCATTTGTTTTTTATAACCTAAGTCTATTAAATTCCCATTCAAGTACACGTACATGTATACATGTATGTATGTAGGTGTATTGTCCACAGTAGTATACAGTCAGTACATTTAGTGCACATAAAGCTACTAGTCAATAAAATTCAGTCATTTTCAAAATTTCCGCTTGGTTACCCTCTTTCTTCTATCAAACAAACATAATATTCATCAACAACACTTACCTTGTGTTGTTTTGACCTCAATCAACATTAGGAAAAAGAGACAGTCGTTACAAATGAAACATAAAATGTAATGTGTCGTTTTGTCTACTGGTACACATAATGATGTAGTGTAAGCGAAGATGGGAGAATATTGCTTTGAATCTCTGTAGGTGCGTGTATGTGTGTGTGTGTGTATGATGGAAAAAATGCGACAGAAGTTTAAAGACTGTGCTAATGACTACTAAGAATTATGAATTTCACATACTAAAGCTGATAAAATGCCTAATGGGGGAGTGTAGGAGAAGCATTTCATCCAATTTTGACCTCATCAACTGGATATTACCCCCTTCCCCAATGAGGCTGGAACCAAGCAGCAATTCCTGTGCAGTTTGGTTTTTTTTCTGATTCCTTGAGCTCCAAGTGGGTTTCTAAATAAGTTACCATCTTGATGCATAAAAACTTCCACATTTGTCAGGTTTATTATCGTTTAGTAAATGAAGTGGAGTTTATCGGATGGAGTTGAACTCTGAACCATGTGCATGATTCGTCAACATTCTATCCCTGAATCACTGATGCACAATACAATATTTATCAGTTGTTATTTACTGAAGTTATTACGGATTTCCTAATGATTATTTAATTTGACGTGATGGTTATTGTCTCATCATACATTAGATTAGTCTAAGTACTCTTTTTTCATATCATCTTCATGTAATTTGAATCAAATCAAACTACAAAACGTCTGTTATACATGCAGGAGGTCTGGGTGGGGTATGTGATACCGACAATATTTTGTTATCATATAAATATAGGAGGCCTTGAATCTATGTTTCGTACTAGTTGGCACTTACCATTCAGAAAGAGGTATCTGCACCCTTGAGGGAATTCCCGTCCACTCTGAGATTCGAACCTGTATTACTCAGCGCTGCAGTCACAGACATTACACTGACGCATTCAGGTTTGCAGTTGACCTCCTATAGGACTGCAATGGGTGCTTTCCCTGGACACATGAATGACAGAACTCAGTCTGCACTAGACGAAGGACTACAAGCATAACACTAGAGACTACCAAGTGTCAACTGCTAGTCTGAATAGCTCAGTGTAATCTATCAGGCTGCAGCGCTGGATGACGCAGGTTCGAATTTCAGATGGGACAAGAGTTCCTTCATAGTTACAGATACACCTCATTGGTGAATGCGAAGAAGCCCGGAACCTAGGCCCAAGGCTCCCTGCCAATTTCCTCCAACCACTTAATATCAATAGTTTACAGTGCACTGCTATGTTGAACCGCCTAGCATAGTGGCGACATTGCAAACTTGACCGATAGAATTCGGTTTTCACCTAACAAAGCACTAAGCTCATGATGCTAGTGTCCAATCAAAGTATCTGTCTGTCTGTTTTCGACATAGAACTTTGCACAAATGTGCGGAAGTTCAAGTCGCCACACTCCGTGTAGCACGCGAAGCAAGAGAAGAAAGTACAAGAAAAGCATAATAGAAACAGTGAGCAGAGGTGTGAGACAAAGGAGTAATAAAGAAAAACAAAACAGTTTCATTGAAGATCATAAGTCACAAGGAGTGGATGCATCTGCGCTTGCCACGGAGAACGATTTTGAGCCATGTCACCAATTGTTTCCAACCATAGATTTTTACCGTCCCGAGGACCCCAGCCTGGAAGTCTACACCTCCCTACGTGGCTTAGACCAACTGTTGTGGATTTCATTGACTGGTGCCAAGTTTTCGTTTGACCGCCGCTAGCTTTTTTCCAGCCTGACCCTATATCCGCTGACATTGCTCGTCGAGGGAGGCGATGGCTTGGCATACGTAACACATGTCCTAACCATCTCAGTCTTTGTAACTCCACAACTTCGTCGATTGATTTCCCCTGTTTACCTAGAACTCGACGCCTAACCTCAATGCTGGTCATCTTATTATGCCACTTTACACGGAAATAGAGCGCAGGCACCTATGATCAAAGACAGCTAGTCTTTTCATGTCTTCCACTCTCAGTGGCCAGGTCTCACAGCCATAAAGGAGGACGGAGCGGACTGATGAGCAGTATACCCGCCCTTTGGTCGATAGGGTCGATATAAATACATACATCATCTGGAGGATTCGTGAACAGGTGAGAGGCGGATTTGATGGCGAAGAAAACAAATAAACAATTCTTGGGAAACTAAACAGAAAACATGAAGGAAATACAAAGGCAACATAATACGAAGGATATGTGCAAATTGTGATTTCCATATAATGTGATAAATGTATTTTAGCATATCTGCGAATCAGATTTCCAATAAGCGTTTCTGATAAAGAAAAAATACAACAGTGCTCTACTGTTATACGAGTTCCATTCCCGTATGACCCACTCTTAAACCTCTTCTAATCTACTAGGCGTCATTAAGCTCAGAAAGGAAAGAATGTTGAACATGAGACTAGACATCCCGAACTCATGAAGACAACAGAATCATCCCTACTGAAGATTCACTGCTTGAAGTCCTATTTCCAACTCGGAATGCAAGGACTCAGAAAAATTATCACATAGTACTGAGGGATTTTAGACAGTAAAAGTAAGCATAGTCTTTTAATGAATAGTTTTATTTTGTTATAGACAAAGATTCAGTCCATTACAAGAACCATTATAACCTGAAAGGTATTCAACAGATACCTTCCTAAAGGATATAAATCGATAAACAAAATTACTCTACATAACTTCTTTTCATTACTGTACATTTGTATACAACCCTCAGGAATGTCATGAAAATGCAAATAAAGGCAAACTTCTAATATCAGTTAGGTAACAAAGCATATTATATTACACATCATGAAACTTGGTTCAGTAGTCTAACTTCATCTAAAAACATGACCTAATGAATACAGTTCAGAAATGTTTATCATCAGCTATGTTAGCACTTAGAAACAAGGAAAATGTTCATAGGAGTAAGAGTTTCAGAATAGGCATAAATTGTATTTTAAAGTTAGTAGTTTGAAAGAAAAGATGAAAACAGAAACGAAATAAATGAATATGAATTACACGCCATATTATTGTGCGTCAATGGCTCAGAGGTAGAATGGTTGCCAACCACGCATGTGGTCTGAGGTTCGAGCCCTAGCCAACGCACTGCTTTACCTCGCTAAGCCAGTAATAAGAGCGGTAAAGAGGGAAGGTTGGGCATGAGTCATGGGGCAATCCCATCCCGGAAAAACAGCACAGCTGATACAGGAACTTCAAAACGTCTCCTTGAAGTGCTATGTTCCATTGAGAACTCAAAGAAATAAAACCAAATTATTGTGATAGCCGAAAAATATTGAAGGCAACGATTGTACAAGGAACTGGAGGAACCGCTACTGTAAATATAGTGCAGGCTTTCACTCTGCGTTACAGAAGATATAACAGGAAACCCATCGGACAATTTGGCTATATATTACATATCCCTTTGGAAGATTTGTCTATTTCATGCGGAATATGAACACAGTACTCAGGCACTTGCTTTCAACTGTTGAGGTACATGGATTACGAATTCGTTCACTTATCTTCCGTAATGAAATCAATTGAACAGTTTCAACTATTTAACTTGTAACATTAAGATATTTGAAAGTTCAGAGTGTAGTCTTAGGTGGAAATGACCATTTTCTAACTGTAACCGAGAGATTGTTTGTAAAATTCTTCCTGAATGATCTAACCACAATATTTACACTTATTTGGTGGATGTTTCAACCAACTTTGTAATTAAATATCTGTTTTTATCATACTCTGTATATCATCCTTATTATGATATTTACACATCACATTCTGACTTGATCCTTATTGTTTGACTTTGTCCGTGTTTCGTCTCTAATTTTAATGCTTCTCTTCATGGATGTGCGACAGATTGATATTGTGTTGTTTTAAAGTGTGGTTTAATGAGTAAATGAAGGTGATTCTGACCTTGAACTGTCTGAGACAACTGTGTTATTCCGATGGACCGAATTTTAATCTCACATTGTCGAGAATATTCTACTTCATTCTAAGTACTTGTCACTATGTATCTTTGTACCAGCCCTGTTGAGGTAATTTAGATGTTTAAGATACTATTAATGTTGAAAAGAACTACAGATCTCAGCAACGAATAATCTTCTTCTTGCTGTCCCTAGAGTGTTTCGTGACTGTGCGTGTCTCAAAGAAGTTTTATCAGTTATACAGTAGGACGCAGAGATCAGTTTTCTGCTTTCAGAAGACAACGAGTCGCTTTCGATTGATAAATGACAAAAACGTAAAAGCTATCTTTTGTATATGATGATTATGGCCCTCATGCATTTCTAAAAAGACGTTTTCCTATTGACTTTAACCTTTAAACAAATAATAATAATAATCCACTTTATTCCAAAGACAGTACTTATAATGCAGAATAGAATTCTCAGCATTTGTAACAGCAGTGCATCTGTTTTACTCAAAATATAAATAAAATTAAAAGTTAAAACGAAATGAATTAGAGGAATTTGTCCATATTTACGGTATAAAGTCAAAAATATTCGAAGTACAAAATGAGA